AAGGGCATAACTCTTTTAAAAATTTGATCAGCGCTAATTTTCGATTTTGTCCCAAAAATTGCTGATATAAACCTATGTATAAGCTTTATAAAAATCAGGCAAGAATTGTACACGTAAGAGCGCTAACAAGACCTGACGGACAGACAGACACCCAGTATTTCTATGCCCCCCACCCCGTCACGCAGGGGACAACTAGAGGTTCAAAAGAGCCTGTGTTGCTCACCTGCATCTTCAACAATAGCCATTTTTTGGTAAAAACCATCATGAAAGAGCAATAACTCTATAATGATTTTACTGACAATTTCAGTCATGTTGACATATTTGTAGATCTTGTCTTGCTGATAATTTTGCTACATAAGTTTCTATCTTTTTAATATAGTTACAAAATAATAGACAAAAAATGTAAGATTTGGGGAAAATCATCATTAAAGGGCAATTACTTCAATAAAGAAATCAATTGACAATTTCGATAATTTTACTTATTAGAAGATCTTGGCTTGTTGATCATTTTTGCTATTCAAAGTTTCATTCTGTCTATTATAGTTTATATGATATAAAAAAAATGAAAAATTAGTAAAAATCATCATTAAAGAGCAATAACTCCAATAAAGAGTCGTCTGATGATTTCAGCAGTCTCTACTTATTTGTAGATCTTGTCTTGCTGATTATTGCTCCTAATAAAAATTTCTCTGTATCTATTATAGTTTTCAAAATAATAGACAAAAAAGAAAAAATTGATAAAATTTGACAATTTAGGGCTATAACTCCTATAAGAAGTCATCTGACAGTTTTGATGGAAATAGACAGCAGGTAGATCTCATCACTCTCAACATTTTTGCTTCTTCAGATTTTTATCTATTCATAGTGGTTTTCAAGACAATATAAAAAAAACTTGCACTTTACACCTATGTTCTATTTTTAGCCATTTTTATTATTAAACTAGATACCCCAATAATAATTGTGGAAAGTTAGGTTAAATTTGGCCAAGTAGTTTCAGAGGAGAAGATTTTTGTAAAAGTTAACGGACGATGACGACGATGGACGACAGATGCCAAGAGAAAAGAAAAGTTCACATTGCCCTTTGGGCCAGGTGAGCTAAAAATCATGTTTCTAAGACTAAGATATCAATCAGAACACATCCAATATCCAATGGATTTAGTGTAAAGATATATTTAGAGAATTCTTGATTATTTAACGTATTTATCAAGATAAGTGTTGTTGAATTTATCAATTAAATGCAATTTATGGTCTTTACTGAGTTTGTCCACAAACTGTGATTTAAACAGTACAAGAAAAAATCTGCTATTAAAATATTAAAGGGGTGCAATTGGTGCCAATAGGAATATCTACAAACTGTCCATAAACTTTATTGCCGAAACCTACATAAATGTTGTCAAAGAGAAAATTAACAGATTTAATCAACTCATCACACATACAGTAAGTATATCTAGCATATTTACCTTTCTCATTAGAGAAGAAGGCTTTTGGGCTTGGGCTGTTGTCTGCTCTTTGATCGGGTTGTTGTCTCTTTGACACATTCCAAGTTTCCATTCTCAATTTTATTTTAAATGAGTTGCAGTAAATATATTTGCAATGAATTTTTTCAAACAGCCATCTAATTAAATAGGAAAACTTTGGTTTGATAAGATTTTGTGGAAGTGTAGTGTAGAGAGCAGAACAGTCAAAACTGTCAACAGAATCAAATGGACCATCAAAAGGATGTGATTTATCTGAAACATCCAAAGAATTTTTTACATTTTTTAAACATGTTTGTGAGATTTAGTACAGGCATATGAAGAATGTGGCAGGGTTGAACATGTTTGTGAGACATACTAGTTATAATACTGCAATAAGTATCTTGAATGCAACACAAAAGTTTTAAAAGATTTCAGTACACATTTTCTTAGCCATGGTATTTTGACACCTACCCCTTACAATAGAAAATTTAACCCCTCTCCTATTAGGTGAAAATTTTAATTTATAACAGTCTTTACACTAATTTTATTAACTATAATGCTGCAATAAGTATGCTGAATGAAAAAAACATGTATTTTATAGATTTATAACACCTTTTCTTAGCCATGATATTTTTTCCCCTACCATGGAAAGTTGAGTCCCCTCCCCTATTACGTCAAAATTCATAATAGCATTTACACCATGTAAACAAGTTGTAATGCTGCATTAAGTATCTTATATGAAAATATCATATAACACTTTTTCTATGCCATGGTATTTTGACCCCTTTAACCTGAAAAATTGAATCTCCTCTCCCCTATTAGATCAAAATTCATGATAGCAATTACATCACTTTCACAAGTGATAATGCTGCACTAAGTATCTTGACTGAAAAAAAAATATGTTGAAAGATTTATAACTCTTATAATGGTATTTTGAACCCCCTACCATGGAACCCTCCCCCCCTCCCTAATAGACCTCAGATTTTCAAATTATCACAGCTTTCAAACTACTTTATACAGCTATAAAGCTTTAATAAGTATTTGGTAGGAATAAAACGAATAAAACAAGTAAGAAAAGATGTTTAAAGATTTTTACTAAGCCAAGTTATGTTACATAGTAATAATGCATTAATAAGTATTTGGCAGGAATAAAACAATTAAATAAAAGAACAGAGTTCCAATGTCCCCCGTGTTGCACAAATTTTGTCTGTCAAAGGGCAATAACTAAAAAAACTTTTTTTCTTTTTCTTTTTATAAATATCTTAGAGAAATAAAGTCTTCCAAGCAAATGCAATGCAATTATTCATATAATTGATATTTCAAAGGGGCATAACTCCTTTGAAATAGTTGATCAGTAATAATTTTCGAACTTGTCTGAGCGTTGCTATTATAAACCTATGATACAAGTTTCTTAAAAATCAGACAAGAATTGTACAGATGAGAGCTCTTACAATGCAATTTTCCATATAGTTAATATTTCCAAGGGGAATAACTCTTTTAAACATAGTTGATCGTCACTAATTTTTGAACTTGTCTGATACATTGATGATATAAACCTATGATATAAGTTTTATATAAATCTGGCAAGAACTGTACACAAGAGAGCGCTAACAAGAACGGACGGAAGGACGGACAGATGCACAATATTTCATTGTTATCCGCAATGCGTTGTGCATTTTAACATATTTGCTTAGCCATGGTATTTTGAACCCCCTAGAATTGAAAATAGAAACCCCTTTATAGACGTCAGATTTTCAAATTGTCATAGCTATTCAAACTCTGTTATAAAGTAATTATGCTTAAACAGTTTTTGATAGGTATAAACCATGTAAGAAAATATGTTTTAACATTTAACTTAGCCATGGTATTTTGAACCCCCTACAATGGAAAATTGAACCCCTCTATAGACCTCAGATTTTCAAATTGTCATAGCTATTTAAACTACTTTACCAAGTTATAATGATTTAAAAGTATTTGTTAGGGATAAAACAAGTTAGAAGAGATGTTTAAACCTCTTAACTTGGCCTTCATATCTTGAACCCCCTACCATGGAAAAATGAACCCCATAGACCTCAGATTTCCAAATAGTCATAGCTATTCAAACTATGTTATATAGTTAATATATGTATAATGCTTTAAAAAGTATTTCGTAAGAATAAAACAAGAAAGAAACTCTGGGGTCAATTTTCCATATTGTATTTTTACCCCAGGTTCAATTTTCAGAAGGTTCATAATACCATATGACACTGGGTAGTATTTGCACATCTACACATGGCAGGCAACATTTCTGTAAATTTCATTCAATTTGGTGAAAATATAAATGGTTGATTCTTTGAGACCTACAACAAATCATGATAGGCATAAGAAGATTTTGATTAGTTGTTAGCTTTACGTTCAGTTGCAACTAGTTCATGCATGTTGAAGAGTATCACAATAAAACATAAATCAAATTTACACTAAAGGTAGCTAAAAAAAACATTTGATATCTGTTGGGAATGATCATTCCTACCCACATGTGATAACGAATCACTTTTCGTAAATTAATGGACAGGTTTCAGTGCCCAACACAAGCTAGAAATGTTTGAGCATACAATGACATCATATGAACACATTTGGGGGATTTGGACAAGTTGAGGGGAAGGACCCATTTTTGAGTGTTTTCAATTTAGCAGACAAAATCATCGGAAGAATAGTAATAATAAAATATATATGGAATATATGCAATTGCAAGCAATAACTAATGATACCCAAAATTGCAGCTTCCATATGGCCGCATGGTATCAGAAGCCATTTTGAATCTTTCAAAAAAGTAAAATAACAAATATACCTAAATCAAAGGAAAATTCAAAACGGAAAGTCCCTTATCAAATGACAAAATCAAAAGCTCAAACACATCAAACCAATGGAAAACAACTGTCATATTCCCGACTTGGTACAGGCATTTCCTTATGTAGAAAATGGTGGATTAAACCTGGTTTTATAGCTAGCTAAACCTCTCACTTGTATGACAGTCGCATAAAATTCCATGATATTGACAACAAAGCGTTAACAAAACAAACAGACATAATAGGTAAAAATGTCAAAAATAGGGGTACAGGTATTGTAACTGCACATTATATGCAAGACAAGTCCCATTTCCACAAAGTTTCATGAAATTTGGTTACAAATAAAAGATTTTTTTATTTTTTACATTTTTGCAGGTTTCACTGTATATAAGTTGACCTTTAGATCATAGAGCTTCTTTCCTTTGGTTTTAGCGTATTGCTTTGTTGCTGTTTCATTGATATTTATCCCTCACCTCTGTATATTAATCTATCATTTAATTAAGAAAAATACTTTGTATTGGTAAAACTATATAGAATTCATTTGTTTTTTTACTTGTCAAGAATGAACATTGAAAATGATAGCTTCAACTACAAAGCAATTACTCCAATAGCCTTTAAAACGTTTTCAGAATTATTTAAAAAGAAAATTTTAGTTCATAACATTAGCAAGTATCTATGCATAATGTCATAACTGGTCATAAGAATACATCGTACTTACACTTAAAACTCTGCTAAAATGTCTGGGTTTTAAACTTCCCCACCAATAATCTACAAACAAAGATACATATATATATATAAAAACAAGAAATGATTGTAACAGGATGCTGTTACGAAGTCTCCCAAACGAAGCTCCCATAATTCGTAATTCCCAGGGTCGCCTGACATTGCATTGGGCAACGTCCAGTGAAAATTGGTTTGGTCCAGTAAAGTTATATGCATTAGTGATGCCTGGGGATTAACCTTGTAAATCATTCAAATCATCTTGGCATGACAAACCAGAATATATATGGTTTAGGGGTGGGGATCTCAACCATTTACAAGATACTAGAACATTGGGGGTGGGGAGAAACCCCTGGGGACTGGCCCTATACGTCATTCAAATGTTCATTACATGACGAACAGGAATATATATGGTTTAGGGGTGGGGATCTCAACCATTTACAAGATATTAGAACATTGAGGGTGGGGGGAACTCCTGGGGACTGACCGTATACGTCATTCAAATGTTCGAGACATGACAAATAGGAATATATATGGTTTAGGAGTGGGGATCTCAACCATTTACAAGATATTAGAACTTTCTCAAATGGCAGGAGGTCGGGATGACCCCTGGGGACTAACCCTGTATATCATTCAAACCATCTTCCCATGACAAACCAGAATATATATGGTTAAGGGGTGGGGATCTTGACCACTTAGAAGATATTAGAACTTTCTTAAATGGCAGGGGGTGGGGGTGACCCCTGGGGACTAACCCTGTATTTCATTTGATGTGCTTTATCATGACAAACCAGAATATATATGGTTTAGGGGTGGGGATCTCGACCATTTACAAGATATTAGAACTTTCTCAAAAGGCAGGGGGTCGGGATGACACCTGGGGACTAACCCTGTATATCATTCAAACCATCTTAGCATGACAAACCAGAATATATATGGTTTAGGGGTGGGGATCTTGACCACTTACAAGATATTAGAACTTTCTTAAATGACAGGGGGTGGGGGTGACCTCTGGGGACTAACCCTGTATTTCATTTGATGTGCTTTATCATGACAAACCAGAATATATATGGTTTAGGGGTGGGGATCTCGACCATTTACAAGATATAAGAACTTTCTCAAATGGCAGGGGGTCGGGATGACCCCTGGGGACTAACCCTGTATATCATTCAAACCATCTTAGCGTGACAAACCAGAATATATATGGTTTAGGGGTGGGGATCTTGACCACTTAAGATATTAGAACTTTCTTAAATAGCAGGGGGTTGGGGTGACCCCTGGGGACTAACCCTGTATTACATTTGATGTGCTTTATCATGACAAACCAGAATATATATGGTTTAGGGGTGGGGATCTCTACCATTTACAAGATATTAGAACTTTCTCAAATGGCAGGGGGTCGGGATGACCCCTGGGGACTAACCCTGTATATCATTCAAACCATCTTAGCATGACAAACCAGAATATATATGGTTTAGGGGTGGGGATCTTGACCACTTACAAGATATTAGAACTTTCTTAAATGACAGGGGGTGGGGGTGACCCCTGGGGACTAACCCTGTATTTCATTTGATGTGCTTTATCATGACAAACAAGAATATATATGGTTTAGGGGTGGGGATCTTGACCATTTACAAGATATTAGAACTTTCTCAAATGGCAGGGGGTCGGGATGACCCCTGGGGACTAACCCTGTATATCATTCAAACCATCTTAGCATGACAAACCAGAATATATATGGTTTAGGGGTGGGGATCTTGACCACTTACAAGGTATTAGAACTTTCTTAAATGGCAGGGGGTGGGGTGACCCCAGGGGACTAACCCTGTATTTCATTTAATGGGCTTTATCATTTAGAACATTTTCAATTAAAAAGATTGTGTCTATCACAAACGGTTTTCAATTTATAATCATTTGAAAATTTTAAAAAATAAAATCCCATAGGGTTCTATAGTAAAACCCTCTTTTCTTTTTGCCCCTCAAAGTACCCCTTTATAAACCCCATTGCACAAACAAAACCCTGATTGCACCACTAGACATGTTAGTCTAACATATTGTGAAACCCTAAGTTAATCTGACAAGCGGTTTTGGAGAACAGGTGCGGACAAGTTCAAATTTAAAAGCGGCGGAAGAAGAAGAAGAAGAAGAAGAAGAAGAAGAAGAAGAAGAAGAAGAAGAAGAAGAAGAAGAAGAAGAAGAAGAATAATAATAATAATAATAATAAGAACTGAGCAAAAACAATAAGTCTTCCCAAACTTCGTTTGGGAGACTTAATTACATGATTTCAGCCGTCTTAATGGCTCTTCGGATGAACATTACTAGCTGGTAACATAGCTATAATTGTGTTTATGACGTTGCATCATCATAGTCAGTTTGTCAAATGTTTGTCAGCTGCATTTTAGTGTCATATTCAGTTTGACTTCAGCTTGTAATTCAAAATAAAAAATGCTTCTTTAGTTTTTATGAATGATAAATTCTCATTAAAAACTTTAACTAGAGGCTCTAAAGAGCCTGTGTCACTCACCTAGGTCAATGTGCATCTTCAACAATGGACACTATCCAACATTGTGGACTAGAATAGAATTAATGACCATAAAAGAACAGAGTTCAAATGTCCCACGCGTTGCACACATTTTATCTATCCAAGGTACAAGGGCAATAACTTAATAAAATGCTCCGCAGGGCGCAGCTTGATACGACCGCAGAGGTCGAACCCTGAACAGTTGGGGCAAGTATGGACACAACATTCAAGCTTGATACAGCTCTGAATTTAGATTGTGATTAAATATTTGACACAGCATAGGTTTCTGACACAGAATGAATGTGGTCTAAGAACTTAAAAATTTTAAATTGGACATTCACCTATTATGGTCCAATATCCAAAATCTAAATACATGGTTAGATTCAGCATATCAAAGAACCCCAAGAATTCAATTTTTGATGAAATCAAACAAAGTTTAATTTTGGACCCTTTTGACCTCAATGTGGACAAAGTTGATAACGGGGCCCAAAAATTTAAATACATGGTTAGATTCAGCATATCAAAGAACCCCATATATTCAATTTTTGTTGAAATCAAACAAAGTTGAATTTTGGACCACGATTTGGACCAACTTGAAAACTGGGCCCATAATCAAAAATCTAAAAATCTAACACTAAAAATTCAATTTTTGTTAAAATCAAACTAAGTTTAATTTTGGACCCCGATGGACCTTAATGTAGACCAATTTGAAAACGGAACCAAAAATTAAGAATCTAAATACACGGTTAGATTCGGCATATCAAAGAACCCCAATAATTCAATTTTTGATGAAATCAAACAAAGTTAAATTTTGGACCCTTTGGACCTCAATGTGGACCAATTTAAAAACAGGGCCCAAAATCCAAAAACTTAATACACGGTTATATTCAGCATATTAAAGAACCCCAAGAATTCAAGAATAAAACCCCATTGAAATTGATCAAGAAATAAGCAATTTATAAGAAGTATCTTCTTTTGCACAATACTGTGCAATTGAATATTTCTTGCTATTGCGCAATACTGTACAATTGACAATTTCTTGCTATTGCGCAATATTGTGCTATTGGATATTTCTTGCTATTGCGCAATACTGTGCAATTGAAGATTTCTTGCTATTGCGCAATACTGTGCAATTGAAGATTTCTTGCTATTGTGCAATACTGTGCAATTGAAAATTTCTTGCTATTGCACAATACTTATTATATAAAAATTTACACATCCTGTTTGGTGTGTATCTCCTACCATATCATTATTATTTGCTTTTAAATATAAATCAGAAATAACCAACTTAAAATGGAAAATTTTAAAAGAAAAAAAAAGGAAAAAAAGAAAAAAAAAGAAAAAAAAAAAAATCCCCCCCCAAATTTTTTGAACCCCCTTATGATTCATCATCCCCAAACTCAATCCCAGCCTTCCCTTTGTGGTATCGTACCTTGCAGTACAATTTCAGAGAGATCCATACACTTGAACACAAGTTATTGTCTTGAAACTAGAAAAATTCTTATTTTTGGCCCCTTTTTGGCCCCCAATTCCTAAACGTTTCAGGCAATTACCCCCAAACTCAATTCCAGCTTTCCCTTTGTGATATGAAACCTTGTAGTACAATTTCAGAAATATCCAAACACTTACACACAAGTTATTGTCATGAAACTAGAAAAATGCTTGTTTTTTGCCCCTTTTTTGGCCCCTAATTCCTAAAATTTTGAGGCAATTACCCCCAAAATCAATTACAGCCTTCCCTTTGTGATATGGAACCTTGTGGTACAATGTCAGAGAGATCCATACACTTACACACAAGTTATTGTCTGAAAGTTACAAAAATGCTTATTTTTGGCCCCTAATTCCTTAACTGTTGGTACCATAACCCCCAAAATCAATCCCAACCTTCCTTTCGTGGTATTGAACCTTATGGTAAAATTTCATGGAGATCCATTCACTTAAACTAAAGTTAGAGTGCGAAAACCAATGTGTCTTCGGACGACGCCAGACGACGACGACGCCGTCATACCAATATACGACCAAAAAATTTTTAATTTTTGCGGTCGTATAAAAAAGCACTTTTTTCTGTTTTTTAAAACTTTTTATTAATATCTTAAGAGAAATGAAGGCTTCAGAGCAAATGCAATGTGATTTCCATTATAATTTATATTCCCAAGGGGCATAACTCGGTACAAATATTTGATCAGAACATATTTTTGAAAGTGTCAAAGAAATTGCTAGTTTCAGTGATCTCAGTGAAGAGGCTTTCAAAAGGTGTAATTATAACAATACTAAACTAGAGACTCTAAAGAAATAATAAAAATCATCATTATAGAGGATTAAGGAAGCTGGGTTGTCTTAATGTTCAATGATAGATTTTTCTTAAACTTCTGTCAAAGACTTCTGGGGCAATGTTATTTCAAATTTCAATAAAAAAAATTGGGGGTTACGAACCTTGTTTTTTCGTTACAATACATTGAAATTAACGAAATCAAGGTTATTTTATATAGGTTGTTTATTATAAATACTTCCAAAATTTCTAATAAAA